GCTCATGCCTCTTTGCTGTCTATACCTCATGCAGGCTCAGTGATTTGCTATGGTTCAGTGTCCATTGTTGAACAGAAGCCACTTGTACCAATGAAGGAAGAAAAGTCTCGTTTAATACCTCACATGCCACTGGCCACTCACATCTACAAACCAGCAAGCTGTTGGATGAAGCCATATTTTTCCTTTCTCAACCTCTCAGCAGCGTTAAGCCCCACTTCAAAATTTCTGCTTCTCCATCCAACCCTTGGTGTGCCTTCTGATGGCCAAAGGTTCAGCGTCACTGGGCTGAGGCCCTTCATCTGTGGCTCAGGGAGGCTAGTGGAACTTCTACACCACGTGCATTAGAATCAAGCTAGTATTGGACAGAGCTCATGACGGACGGTGCTCCTGAAGGATGGTACTCATGAGGGTAAGTCCTCTCAGCTCCATCTGATCCTCTTGCCCCCTCCTCATTAGGCAGATGTACACTGTTCAACCACAACTTGGGGAGACACTTCTTTTCCTCTGTTCACGGTTAAGTCAGCTTCCCGCTTTGTGAGTTTTTTACTAATCTTTAGGGAAACGTTCCATCTCTCTTGACACAGAGAAAATGGTCCTATTTGCTGAAAGACCTCTTGGTATTCACTGCCGGTTAAATTTTGTACTCATCTTCAGAAATACAGAGCTATTTTGTCCTCAAACTATGAACTGTCTTTTCAATTTTAGCCTGCCTCCTGTGGGGAAAATCCACTATAAGGCAAGAAGAGGTCTTTTCATATACACTTGTTTTATGGTAACTATGGGATATCTGAGAGATTAAAAATAAATATGATAAATACCACCATCACACTGAGACAATGCCAACATTATGGGATTTTAAGATTTTTCTTTCTACTTTTCACCCACGAGAAAGCTGAAAGAATAGTAAAAAAGAACAGAATAATAAATGGCACATCTGTACACCAATTGCTGACATTTTATAATATTTGCTTTATCTCTTTGTATACATTTTACCTTTAACTTCTGGAACATTTTATCCTTAACAATTCAATTGGTCTTTTCTATGGAAGAGGGCATTCTCCTACATAATCACAAATGCCAGCATTACAATCAAAACAATATTATTATCTAACATATACTTCACTTTCAACTTCCTTCAGCTGTCCTAAACATGTCCTTTATAGATTTTGACTTTTTCTCCGGGAAAGAATCAAAGGTCATGCATTTCACTTGGTTGTCAGGTCTCTTTAGTCACTTTAAAAATAGGCATCTCTGCCATTAATGTATCTCTTTAACGGTTTTCATGATCTTGATTTTTTGAAGAGCCTGGGCCCCCTGACAGGTAAAACAGCTCACAATCTGAATTCCTACACTACTACAAGTTCAATATCTTGGCAAGTATATGCTATAGGTGATGTGTAGATGATGCTCCTAGGACTTTCCCTGCCCTGGATCTGGAAGAAGCAATTTCTGCCCTGTTCCTTCTACTGAGGAATAACATTTAGAAATCAAATACTCTGCAACCGGTTTGCTCATTGGTACTGAAGCACAACCTGTAAGGAAAATAAAACAATTAGTTGGCTTTTGAATGGTTTCCTAAACCCTTCCATGAATAGAATTAACAACTACATCATCTTTAAAATCATAAGTTCATACTGATATCTCCAAATCAGAACAGATTTCTTCCTCATCTTTCCTTGTTTTTTTTTTTTTTTATTTTATTTATTTATTCATGAGAGACAGAGAGGCAGAGACATAGGCAGAGGGAGCAGCAGGTCCCTCACAGGGAGCCTGTTACGGGACTCAATCCCAAAACCCCCGGGATCATGACCTGAGCCAAAGGCAGATGCGCAACTACTGAGCCACCCAGGCACCCCCTGTTTGTTTATATTGTTATATTATTATTATCTCCCTTCTCTTAGTAAGAATCCTGGTTCTCTAGAATATCAGTACATTTACTCCTTTGTCTCTTCTACAGTATATTATAAACGTTTCAAAAGTACTACACACACTCGAAACATTATTGGCAACAAATCTCCCACACGAACTTCATTCCTCAATCTCATTACAGTGTAACACTACTAAAATATAAAGACAAAGAGAAACCCTGAAAGGTGACCAGACAAAAAAAGATATTCCTTCCAAAGAAGACTTACAAATGGCCAATAAGTGCACGAAAAGATGCTTATCACCACTAGCCACTAGGGAAATGCAAATCAAAACCACAGTGAGATTCTACTTCACACTCACTAGGATGATTATATAGGGAGAAAGAGAAGGAGGAGGAGGAGGGAGAGAAAATGAGTGTTGGTGAGGATGTAGGGAAGTTGGAACCTTTATACATTGCAGATGAGAATGTAAGATGGTGCAGCTTCTGAGAAAAACTGGTTGACAGTTCCTCAAAAAGATAAACATAGAATTACCATATGACCCAGCTATTCCACCTCTGGGCATATGCCCCAGGGAATTGAAAACAGGAACTCAAACAAATATTGTAGACCACTGTTCATCACAGATTTATTTGCCACGGCCAAAAGGTGGAAACATCCCAGATGTCCATCAACCGCTGAATGCATGTACAAATGTGATCTATCCATACAATAGTATATTATTTGGTGGTAAAAAAGAATGTTCTGATCCACGCTACCACATGGATGAATCTTGAAAGCATTATGCTCAGTTAAAAAACCCAGACACAGAAGGAAGAATATGGTATTTTTATGGGGCAAATTCATGAAGGCAGAAACTGGACTACAGATTACAAGGGCCTAGTAGCGGGGAGAGGTGAATGGGGAATTATTGCTGAATGAGTACAGAGTTTCTGTTTGAGGTGATAAAAATGTTTTGGGAATAGATAGTGCTAGCCACTGCACAATATTGCAAATGGACTTAGTGTAGTGTAAGACAGTTTCCACTATTCTATATTTTTTCTTAAATTTAAGGCAGTTATTCTTTTGAAAATTTCCCCATCTGCTAAGTTTGAGATCATAACTTATTTCAGTTTGCCATACTTTGATTCTAAATAAGTTTGAGAATCTATCCCTGTGTAGGGGTAATTCATGCTTGCTCTTCTGTGAGTTACCTAGATTACGTATTGCCATTTTTTAGGTTTTCTTTCTCATTAAGTAATGAGAATTCTTTATTCCTTCTAGGTTCCAGTAGACCCAGGTCACCTATGTACCAGAAAATAGGCTAGATCTTAAAATCTCAGTGGCTTAACCCTATGAAGTTCAATTTCCCATGACCACAGAGCCCAGTGTGGCATGAACAGCTTTCTTTAGCAGTTGTTGCCCAAATTATGATCCACTGAGCCAGGTTGCTCCCCTATTATACTTAGGTAATCTATAACTTGTACTTTCCAAGTTCACCACAGCATGGGCAAGAGAGTTGAAGGTTATCTGTGCAGAAAGCAGCTAACACAGCCTGAGACTGCTGTGCTCAGAAAGGCTGCTTGCAAGATGGGCCATTGGCTGGCATCTGGGCACTTGGCTGGTAAAGTTATCTGTGCCCATACCAACTTTTCCCAACTAAGAAGGATGATTCACTTTGTCTAGACTGTGAGTGCAAGCACATAGTTCATGCTGAACCCCAGATTTCCTTCTGGAAAACTACATTTTTAGTATGTGGTGGGCCGTGGGTGCCTATATGAAGAGCCCAATAAAGACTTGGCTAGTAAGTCCCTAAGGGGTTCCTATGGTAGAAACACTACCCATGTTGCTGCCTCTTCTTGTTGGGGGGAAGTGTGAGCTGTGTGTGACCCCTCCAAGGAGGAAGAGAGCATCGGGAAGTGTGTCTGCGGATTCCTTCAGACTCCACCTGTGTCTTTCCTCCTTGTGATCTGCAACTGAATATTTACTGTGGCACTAATAACTCTTAGCCTTGACTACAACTATATGCATCTCCAAACATGGGTGTATACTTGGGGACCCCCAACACGGTGCCACAGGATGTTTTAGAAGTCAAGGCTTGGAATTGACTTAGATAATTTTTATACACATCCCATTGTTCAGAACTTAGCCGTAAGTCCCAAATCCTGTAACTGCAAGTGAGGCTGGGAATTGCGGAGGAGCCACGGGGACTTGTTAGAGCAGGAATGGTGTCTGTCACACTGATTCCTTATCATTTGTTTGCACTTGTCGAATCTTTTCCCAGTCTGTGGTTTACCTTTTCATTTTTATGGTGTGTTTTGATGTAGAAGAGTTTCATGCAACTGAAACATATACTTTTTTTGTGGTTTATGTTCTTCTGTATCTCTACTTTAAAAAAAAATCCTTCCTCAAATAAATGCCTAAAAATATTTTTCTTAATTTCTTCTAGTAAAATTTAAGTTTTACTTTTCACAATTAAAAGTAGACCTGAAATAGATTTTCATATGGGGGATGAAGTAGAGATCCAGAAATAAGAGGGAGGGGCATATGTTTAGTGAAGAAATAGCCTGTAAGAAAAGATTCCAAGGGAGGAAAAGAACATGATACATATAAGGAAATAAGGGAACACGTGTGAGTGTGGCTGAGGCAGAGAGAGCCAGAGGAGACTGTGCAGGGTGATGGTGGAGAGACAGGGGGAGGGCAAACATTATAGGACCTTGTAGGGCTATTGCCTCACAGAAGAAAGGCAGCCAGGAGCAGAGACCATATGAATGAAGGTCTATGAGTTATAAGTTGAAGGGTAGAAGAGGGTGCAGAAAGGAATAAAGAAGTCACTGAAATCCAGCCGGGAGAGAAGAATGTGGGGGCTTTGAGACTATCAAGGGAATCTTCAGATATCTCGACTAAAGGTGCATTTTCCTTTCTGCGAGCAGGATGAGAGACTGGCAAATGAGGGAACTAGTGAGCTGAAGATATTGGGGTGATGTCCAGTCAGGCTGAGACTGGTGTGGGGATGGACGTCAACCCCGAGGGTCACATTGCCCACTGCTGTAAGGCTCCCATGCTGGCAAGAGCTCTGTGACTCCTCTGGAGGCAGGGGCTTCTTGGGGCTAGGCTGGACCTCGTGAGTGCAAGGCAGCTCAGTCTACCTACCCTTTATGTATGAAGAGGAGGCAGCTGTGCAGTGCTGTGGAGTAACTGTCGGCACAGAAGTACACAGATGTCTGGGAGGAGGTAACAGAGTCCAGTAGGAGGGAGAAATCCATCTTGTTTGATCTAGAGACTGTGTACCCATTGGAGAGGTCTCCTTTTTCAGTGCTGTTAATACCATTTGAATAATAGATCAGCCTCGGCCCATGTCCCAGGTCATGTCGATACCAGTACATATAGTCATAGTTGTCTGTCTGGTGACACCTCAGAGTCACCCTCTTTCCTGTCCCCGTGACCTTGTATCTTGGGCTCTGGAAAATTCCAGCATCCATGTATCCTGTAATAGAGAGTGACACAGATTAGTGTTGTCATCTCAAGAGGAAGGCTTGTGTTGAGGTGTTGGGAATTGCAGGGAAGGAAGCCCGCCTGTACCCACCTGCCCACAGGAGACAAAGAGCCATGCCAAAGAAGACGCCGGTGGCCATTTCAGGTGATGGGCTGAATGTCATGTGTTCTAGTTTTGTTTGGAGGAAATAGAGCTTAGGCTCTCAGGCGCTCAATGACATCACTGTCCTTGACAAATGCTTGAGCTGCAGAGCTAACCTGCCACACGCCTTCCCCAGAGGAATGAATCCTTCATCTATACAAATGTCTCAGAACGGGGAGAATTTGTTAGTCTGCTTTTTGAAGGAGCCTAAGAGGTGTATTGCTTCTCCTCTACTTTTTAGTAAGGAAACTTGTTCCTCTATAAATAATGATACAATTCCTCGTTTGCATAGTATTAACAATTTTTTCATAATATTTCTGTAGACTAAGAAATATTGTTATGATGTTCCTGATACTTTTGTGACTTCTCTGCTGAAAATTTGCTTTCAAATACCTTTTAGTTTTTCTCTTTGCCTTAACTCCTGATAATTGGATGTCGGCCTACGGTCATTTTCTTGTTTAAAATAGCCATGTCCAGAAAGTTTTCAAAGTCTCGAGGTCAGGGTCATTGGACTTTGAAGAATGATTTTATGTTGTCTCACAATGCATTCAGTTATGGGAGCCCTGCCATCTATGTCCAGGTCTTTATGCTCTCATGAGGAAGATTCTGTCCTTTGTTTCAGATGAGGCCACGGAGCACTGGGCCCCTTTAGTTACCTGACTCTGCTCTCCGTAAAAAAAGGAGGAAGCTCATTAGCAACATGGATGAGATTTTCATCCACGGGTACGTATGTCTGATGCCTCCAGGGTCACAGGGTAATGTTTTGTCTCCATTCAGAAGGTCTTGCTCCCACCAAATGGGTGAATACTGGTTGAATCATACATTTGCTATAGCATAAAACTTACAGTTGGTCAATATCAGTACATACTGTTATTTCCTATGTAGGTCATAACTCAGTGGGAAGCTTCTCTATTTCTGTGGCTGCATTCTACTCTTCATGGGTAATTCCTACAGTCACACAACAGTGAGAAAAGACATGGAATCAGAAATTGGACGCAAGGAGTACCACACAGAAAGGTTTGTGGCTGGCACCTGGCAAACCCAGGAAGGATTTTCCCCTTACACCCAGGACTCACTTAGTCCCAGGAAACTAAGAACCACAGAGCAAAGAAGCCTACTTCCCATGGCTGTGTCAGTACAAGAACAAAGAGGAGGAGGAGTTAGCTAGGACTCATATTCTTTGGGGTAGGGTACACGGGATCCCAGAGATCTGAGGATTGTTCTCATAATAAAGTATGATCTACCCAGAGTATCAGTATTCTCACTGATACCTAATTTCTTTAGGGAGAGAAGCATTTGCTGGGAATGTTTCTTTTTTAAACTTCTTTTTAAGTTAATTATGGAGTCACAAATTTATCACAAAATTTCCTAAAAACATAGACCTCATCTTGAAGCTTTGTCTGTTTTTGGTTGTTTTGTTGCACTTGTGTTTCCCAAACACGTAGAACACTTCCTACACGTGGTGAACAGTGAAGGGTGGGTTGGCCATAAAGTCAATGAAGAATAACTTCAGGCCTTTCTCATTTGCACAGGACTTTTCCAATACTTAAAAATTTTTTTTTCTATTGCCTTTTTCAAAAAACTCCCTAAAATTATATAAGGGTTAGTCTCCATAAAACCCTGGATCTGCTCTGCACATGTATTCAAAAAGTGTTTGTTGAATTAATGAAGAAAGTCCAGGCAAACTCTACGTTTGTAAACATAACCCTAGTCTGTTCAGTTACAAATAGGTTTGGGGCATTAAGGGAACAGAGAGCCACATGAGTCTATCGGGAATTCAAAATAAATCAAAATGAACCCGGAAAAGGTTCATTCATATATGTTATTATAAGACCTTGAAAGGATGGATGGTAAAACGAATGAAAGAAAAATGGTGATGTCTTCCAAAGAGAAGCGCCTTCAGATGGTCACTTCATTCCATCACTGTCAGAGAGCAGGGAGGATGAAACAGGGAAGGAGGGAACCAGGATAAAGGAGCAATATTGAGGACGTGCTGGGGCAACAGGAGAGGGTCCAACTGGGATCTTCTGAGAAGCCCATGAAATGCCTCCTTGAATGGTCCCCCTGAATGCAGACACTGGAGGTTTCGTGTCTTGGGCCCTGTTCCACCGAGAGCACTAGCACCCCTGCAGCTCCAGCCATAGGGCTCCTATGATGTCACAGATGGCCCTGGGGCAGAAAGCCCAGGGATGTGGGCGTGCGTATGAGGGGTGCTGTCAGCATGAGGTGAATGGCGGTGGACTTGCATGAACATACTGGCCACAGCAGTGGAGGCTGAGAAGATGCTTTCTAGAAACTGTTATGATGGACTCTTGTGAATGAAACTGTCCCGTCTTTTATCAGATCTTTTGTGTGATCACCAATCGCACCCAAGCCACAATGTTCTGGAAGCACCACACTTTCTTGCATATCAGACTTAATATCAAACAGAAAGTGCTGCCATAGGCCTCATTTTCACCTTCCCTTAAGAGGCAACTCTTTGCAATTAACTTCACGTAATAAATTAGCAGATGACTGTAATTACACTTCAGATGACTTTGTGTCTGGAATGTAGGCGAGTCGGGCAAAAGTAATCCGTGCCTGCCTTTGATCCCAGAATTGCACCCAGTAAATAATTGTGCTAGACCAGAGACTTATCAAAGTTAACAGGGGAACTAAGACTTCTTGGGCCTATACTTTGTGTCAGGCAGTTTGTTTTATTTTTCTTGCATAATATTTCTGCAAGACACATGTTATCGGCCTTAGTTTTACAAGTGGGAAAACCAAGCCAGATATTTTCCAGGTCACTGGGCCAAGGCAGGTCAGAATATGAATAGATGGAAACCTTGGAAGTCCTCTTCAGTAGGTAGCAACCTTGTGCAAATGCCTGTATCAGGGCCAGTGTTTCTGGAAGGCACTTTTGGGTCAGTGTTCCAGTTGTGCAGATGTCTCCCTCTACCAAAATGCAGAAGCGTAGCAGTTAAGTCAGTGTGGCCTAGGTTTGAGTGCCAGTCCAATATCTGTGAGCTGGGCCCCCTTCAGCAAATGACCTACACTCTAGCCACTGGTATTTTCACCTGCAGTATGGATAAATTGTCCTGTCTCATGTGGGTCTCAAGAAAATTAACTGAAATAACACACTTAAGTACGTGCCACAGAGAAAAATGAGCAATAAATAAGTGAATTTTCTATAATTTCAAATAAAAGGAATAGGATTAAAACAGTGTGTGTTCGCCAGTAAACTTGTACCTGCCACCTGTAAATGGCTATGCCACACATTTATTAGCTGTGGCTCTCTGCTGTTTTCTGCAGTGACTGGCCTGGGCAAGACGTAGCAATTGCAGCTTTTCTGATAGAAAGTGCTAGACGTGTGAGCGAGCTGCAGCCTCCAAGGACCCTTCCTCCCCTAGAACTTCTTATGGTTTAGAAGCACTATTCCCTGTATTAACTCCCATTCTGCTTGAGATTCCTGGAGGGCTCCTGTTTCCTTGGCTGAATCCTTTGATAGACTAGAAACCCCCTAATCACTTAGCTCCTGTATTGGGGGCTACCTTGGCCCCATCCTAGTGGAACTATCATGGGACAAACACACATTCTCTGGCTTGAAGCTAGTCCTAGGAGTGGGCAGGCAGTAGCTATAGAAACCCAACTCCAACGGGGTGCTGGGTGGCTCAGGGGTTGAGCATTTGCCTTCTGCTCAAGGCATGATCCTAATCCAGGGATCCAAGTCCCATAGGGAGCCTGCTTCTCCCTCTGTCTGTCTCTGTCTCTCTCTGTGTCTCTCATGAATAAATACAATTTTAAAAAAAAGGAAAGAAAAGAAACCCCCACACCATGATGTGAGCCCTCCCCACCAGAGCCAGTACTGAAATGGAAGACAGTGGTCTGCTACATCTTAGGCCCAGAAAACACCATGCAATTTTAAGGAAATGTTGGTTTCGGAGGCATGGAGACTTGGATTCGACTCCTGCCTCCGAGACTTTAAATATGAAATCTTTGGAAAGTCCATGAGCTACTGTTTCTTATCTGTAACATGGCATACTGAGAGCTTCCTCATCTGTAAAATGGACATGCTATGTCTATCTTGCATTACAGTTACACTTACACTCTAGCACAGCACAGGAGCCCTTGCTATCAGCTAGGGATTTCGAGAATATTCAGTGAATCTGGGGCCCACATGTTCAGGGGTGCTCTGGCTGAGCTCAGCAAGGCAGAGGGTTAGAAAAGAAACTAGATGCATCCCTGGAACTTGGCTAAGAACACCCCCCCCCCTCTTATATCCTCAGCTGGGATAGGAAAGTTTGAGTACAGAAAGCCAGTCACACCGCAGGGCTGTGCCAAGCTGCTGGCACAGAGATACAGGGCTGAGTCTCCCGGCTCCAGGGGGTTCATCTCCAGCTGGGAGCTGGCGTCACTGAACTGCTGCACTGAGAATCGTGCGGGGACGTCTCCTTTGTCTCTCTGCTTCTGTCTATAATACTCAAAGAGGAACTGGGGGCCCTGTCCCGGGGCCTGCTTGTACCAGTGCACAGTGTTGTGTCCAGAGACAAGATGGCATTCCAGAAGAGCCTTCCCCCCGCTGCCTTTGATTAAGTGTCTGGGGGTCTGGATGACTCCACCACCCACTGGACCTGTGGAAGAAGGAGACAGCAGCTCATGACCTGGTCTAGGGAGGAATTTGAGATTCCAGCAGCATTTCAAGCGATGTCCCACCTGAGCTCAGGACTCACCTGTCCACAGGAGACAGAGGGCCACACAGCAGAGCAGCTGGGTGCCCCAGGCAGACTCAGGCAGGACAGGGCCCGGCATTTTCCTACTCAGGGCTCTGGTCTCCTCTCTTATCTCTGTTTGGAGGGCTTGCCTGTGACGTCAGTGTTCTGACATCACTGTCCTTTTATGCTCTTGCGGGCACCTTGCACTCCCTGATAGGCTCAGCTGCTGCAGGCTGTCCTCCATTCTGTCCAGCTGTCTGCTGGGCAGGTGCGGCTGGCCATGCCAGCTAGGCCAGGTAGGGTTGGGCCAGGTAGGGTTGGGCCAGGTAGGGTGGTCCAGGGTCCCCCACAGCTTCTCTATTTTCCTCTGTGTTCCTCTCTCTGCCCCTGGCTTGGGTTATTCAGGCTGCCCCACTGAAGCCTCCTCACACTGTTCCAAGAAAGGCCTTTGCAGCAAGAAAGGTGGAGTTCATGGCAAACACACCTGAGCATCAGTTAATGTGAGACTGTGATCGGCCCTTCATGGGCCAGCGCTGATTGATCGACAATCTCCTTGATGCCAGGACCAAGGAAGGCAAGCCTGCTTCTCCTTCACCCTCCCTGTTGCCCAGATGCGCCGTCAGCGGCCGCTCGGTGGACCCAAAGCGCCCTCAGGTGGCCCAAGCAGGCCAAGTATTGTCTACCTTGGGCACCAGGATCCACCAGGGCAGCACAGCTCTGGGTGACCTGATGTCCACCTGTGTCAAGCTCACTCTGTGCATGAACTCAGGTTCATGAGGGAACCATGAAGCAAACATTTTTCCAATAAAAGATTACATATTCTGAATCCCATTGATTAGTGTTCTAGGAAAGGGGATACCAGCCAGTCATTAGATGCCAGCTGCCACAGGGAAGGGATAGGACTTTGGGCAAAGTGCTCCTTCTACCCTGAGGGACTGAATGCTGACCGTTCACCTCCCTCTGTGTGCTCCTATTTCGACCTCAGCCCAGTGTTTGCCTGGTCACATCTGTGCTTTGGGCACAGGACCTGTGGGGTGCGGGGTGAGGCAGTCACATTTATGTCCCCAAAGCTGTTTGAATTCATAGTTCAGAGCTACAAGGGATGAAACGGTGCCTCTGGTGGGTTCTGATCTAAGCTGGGATCTTCTATTAATTCTGCGGCTGAAAAACAGAATTTCTTCTATCACTTCATTAATCTCCCTACTGCTTTTTGTCCCCGGCTCCTTATCTTGGTGCCTCTGGTGTTTCTAAGTGACTTCTAAAATAAATAAATGCTCCAAACCTCCCTTTGAGAAGGAGTCAGACCATGTCACCCTTATCATCCTGGTGGAAGGTGTGCAGTAGAGATGGAGGTGGGGTGGGAACTGACCCTTGGGGCCCCTAAAAGGCTGCATTGAGACTAAACTGCTCCTTTGTATTCCTGGCATAACATTCAAAGCCTTATCAGCCACCCCCCTCCTATAAGGAAAAATACTCCAATCCTCCCAAACCAAGATAAAATGCCCCCGAGCTGTGATGCAGGACAACTGGCCTGCTGCTGGCCCCTGGGAATCTCCCTGAGTGCTGAGTGATCCATCAGGGTGTCCCACCAAACATCCACTGTGGCCTTCATCGGTACCTCCAGCTTTCTTTCTCTCTTCCTCATCAAACATCACAAGGAAAAGGATAGTGAAGACGTTGACATCACCTTCAATATAAATGTTCCCATTTTCCAACCACTTAAAAGGCAAACAGATCAGAATGAGCCTGGATTTTAATTAACATTGTTCTCCTCTACATCTTACGTGCTTGAAGGGACCACTTCCTTGCCTTTCCCCCTTCCCTCATTTTAACAATCGCTTCTCACAGATTCCCCTTCCTCAGTTTATTCACATCTGTGTCTCTGCTGCCTCTTGTGACAAAATGATTTTCTCAAAGGTCAGCTCTCTGGGGCCAGGCCACCGACCAACTGCCTTCTAGGACATCTCTATGGCCAGTGTCATACTACCTTTACCTCCAGTGGTTACAGGGCACACATAGACCCTCCTAGCTCTGGCGTCTGGTCTGACAACCTCTTCCTCCCAGTGACCTTCTGCTTCCTGCACCTTCCACACAGACATGAACAAACTGGCATTTATAGTCTGTTTGGCTCCACCATATATTAGTTCTGAGGCCATGCGCAAGGCCATCAACCCTTCCGAAACTGAGCCTCCTCACCTGTACAGTGGTACATTGTATACTTCACAATGTGCTATGAGGAGTAACTGAGAGATTGCATAGTCCTAAATGGGTGTAGGGAGTGCCCACCCCTTCCTCATTCCCCATCTAGTCATGTAAGGGGGCATGGCTTGAGCTCCCAGACCTCCAAGACTGTGAGTGATGGAAGTGCCCTACTCATCCCCCAAGGAGCTGGAGTCTGGAGAATGTAGGAACACAAAGAGGCTGTCCAGTCATTTTGGGGAAGACCAGTCAGGAAATGAATAACATAGTGATGATAGAGTATCAACGCACCTGTCACCACATTGTGCAATATGAAGCATCAAATAGGAGCAAGTGAGGTCTGCATCTACCAACCTGGACAAATAAAATGCAAAGCAGATTAAGTGGGAGAAGTATGTGTGCAGCAGTTAATGTGCACAGGCCATCCCAGTTTTTGCAAATGTATTTGGGTGGACAGGTGGGCATGAGTCCGGGGAAGAGAGCTGGTAGAAAATACACAAGAATGTTAATATTGATAACCTACCTGAGACAGGGACGGACAGAAGTGTGTTTGGAGAGGGGAGAGGATTATTAATGTTTAACATGTTTTTTTTTTTTAAGATTTTATTTATTTATTTGAGAGAGAGAGAGAGCACAGAGGGAGAAGGAGAATCAGATTGCCCGCTGAGCAGGGAGCCAACTCGGGGCTCGATCCCAAGACCCTGGGATCATGACCTGAGCCCAAGGCAGACAGTCAACCCATTAAGCCACCCAATCCTCCTAACATCTTCTTTTATACATTGTTGATTTTTTTTTTTTTACTACAAAACATAGCTTAACCACATGACAGCTTTAGGTTCAGACTCTTGATCAAATTGCAGGATGTGTGGCATCTTAAATGGGCAATGTCCAGAGAGGTGCGAGTCAAGGAACAATTATAAATGCCCCCCCTTTTCTTTAGTATGCCAAGAGGAAACAGTCACATAAAAGAGCACAAGCTCCCCGTGCACCTGACGGACCTCTCCCTGGTGAGGCGGGTGAGCAGTGAGGTCTGCACCTTTGATGTTGCTTTTAGCTGGTGCTGTGAATTGACAGGGCTTCTGTCCCTGACACTTTGGGGCAAGGGGAGTTCCTGCCTGACTCCTCAGTACAGAATGCGCTTTGAGTCCACCCCTCATTTGAAAAGGAAGGAACACCTCTAGTGCCTGTATTTCCAAACTCAGCAAAAATAAGTTACTTTTCACAGGCTGGAGATGCCTTTTGTTTCTCATTCAAGCAACCGCATGATTACAACGCAGCCCCACCGATTGTGAGGTTACCCCAAGGTTCGTCAACAGGTCACAACCCGTTCTCCAATACGTTCTTGGCCTATGAGTGGGAAGCGCCGCTGTCCCTAGGGAAGATGTTCTGGCTTCTAGTCTTTGTAAGGTTTGACTCTTTGAAACAAGTAGTCTATTTCTGGTCTTCACTGCCTCAGGAGATGAAACTGCATTAGACTTTAAAGCATTGATGTGAATCATTCAGGCGAAACTTGGGTTTCGATCTGTCCTTGGGCCATTCTAGGCATACGTTTGTTTGATTATTTCCATCTTGAAGGACTCTCACAATCCTTCAAGGACTAAGACATGGCCTCTTTCTGTAAATGGAGCCCCTGATGTGGCTTCACCAGGTACCTGGGTGGTCTTCCTTCTGCTGTTGGCAGATGGGGATGGAAGACACCAACACCCCCTGCAGGACTGGGCTTTACAGTCTGGAGACTGACTGAGAGGCTTTCCAGTAAAGAGTCACACGGGGTTGTGCATGATGACAGCTGAATACTGTGAGCTTTGAGCACTTGGGGTAAGGAGGTTGACCCAGTAACCCTGCAAGCAGTGCTTCCCTGACAGGGTGCTGGTGAAGGGGAGATCTATGTTTTGTTGGGGAGGAGGAGGACACTTGTGGGGGATGAGAGGAGTGGAGGCCGGTGTGGCTGAGGCAGAAATGAGGGCACAGAAGCACAGAAGGACAGCCAGGAGCAGACAGGACAGGACAAAGGCTCGTGGCTGAGACAAAGGTGGCCTGGGATAGAGGGACTCATCCAAGGCTAATGGGACTGGGAATCTAGACCTGTGGTGTCAGATCGGAGTGTCTCCTTTCAAACGGTCCTCCCTTTCTGTAAGCAGCCGGGTGAGCAGAATTGCTCTGCAAATCCAGAGCTGTGATAGCTCCCATGGCAAAGCCATGGGAGGGGCCTGAAGAGAAGGTTGGACCCCTATGCTGGTAAGTCCAGGAGAGGTCACTGTGGGGCAATGTCCCCCCTGCCTGGGGACAAGCCCACCTGTGTCTACTGTGGGTCTCTCTGTGCAGGGGAGGTGACTATGGGGTACTGGCTGGAGCCAGAGGACTCAGAGGTCAGGGACACAGTGTCAGACCAGAGGACAACATCTTTGGCTGTGACAAAAAGTCACAGGCCCATCAGGGATTTCTCCTTTGTGTGTGAGGTACTACATCAGCTTAGCCGGGTTTGGGGTCCTATCGACACCTATACATATGGCCATGGACAGCAGTCATGAGCATTTCAGTGTCCCCTTCTGTCCTGTTCTTATTATCTTGGGATCTGGAGAGTTCCAGCATCCATGGCATCTGTGATCAAGAGAAGCCAAAGCTGGAGATAGGGTCCAAGAGGGAATCTGTCAAGGTTGACATGAAGTAAAGGCTTAGGATAGGGCTTGGTGTGCCCAGAAAAGGGCTTTGGAGGGTTCCCCTGCCTCAGGAGACAAAGGGTGGCACAGCAGAGGAGCCTGCTGGCCATGCAGAGTCAGGACAGAACAGGACATAGAGGGAGTGCTTCTCCAGCTTGGGTGTTGGGGAAGTAGGTCTTACCCTTGACTACCCTCCAAATCCAGTCATAGACCTTCACTCATATGGTGTCTGCTCCTG